ATATTAAGAAATTGTACTTCAGTATGTGTGTATATATATATATATATGTGTGTGTGTGTGTGTGAGAGAGAGAGAGAGAGAGAGAGAGAGAGAGAGAAGAAATAGATGACCACACTGCCTAGAGAAAACATGGGTTATTCAAGAACTTATAAGAAGAAGCATTCTTCTCTTGAGAAACTATAAGAAGACCATAGATTTGAAAGAAAAAAAAAAACCATCAAACGACCATAAATTTAAAATAAATAAAAAACTTATTAGAAGGTCATTGATTTTATTTAAAAAAAATAGACAATTATTTAACCAAAAAGAAGCATTTTTAAGAAGACCATAGATTTATTAAAAAAAACTGCCAGAAGAAGCATTCTTTCTCAAACATATAAGAAAACCATAGAGTTAAAAAAAGTTGTTAAAAGACCATAGATTTAGAAAAGAGAACTTAATTAAAGTAGCCATTTCCAGACTTTAGATTCATCCATTAGCCATTTATTTCTCAATATTTCAAAAATGTCACTACCTCCGCAAGTAGCAACTTCTCAATCTACGGAGGGGTCAAAGTGTAAAAGAAAAGTTTCTGAATCAGGTCCACAAACGCAAGGACCAAATCTGTAAATTAGTCCCAACGCATTCACAAGTGGCAGAAGAGCCATTTCCACGCTCTAAATTCATCTCTTAATCATTTCCCTCCCAATATTTCAAAAATTTCACCACAAGTGCAGGGTCTAAATCTGTAAATTAGTCCTAACATATCCGCAAGTGGCGGAAGTGCCACTTACGGACCTTTATCTAATCTACATATTTGGTTCCTCCACTTGTGAACCTGTTTCAGAAACTTTTCTTTTTTACATTTTGACCCCTCCGCAAAATGAGGAGGTGCCCACTTGTGGAGGCAGTAATATTTTTAAAAGTTGGAGAGAGAAATGGCTAAAAGATTAATCTAAAGCTTGAAAATGACTATTTCTATTAATTTCCGTTTTTTCTAAAACCTATTAGAAGGTGATTAATTCTACAAATTAAAAAAATAATCTATTAGACAATTAATTAAGCCAAAAAACACATGGAGTTGGAGAGAGTCAAAGATGGTCAAAAAAAAAGAAGGGCAAGATATGAGAACCAAACAGTCATGTCTAAGAGGGAAAATAGTTTAGTGGGCTGCAAAAAGATATGCCATAGTCTAAATCAAATCAAAAGAAAAGAAAAAGAAAATTGAAAAGAAAAAACTGAGATGGATATGAAGTCTTTAGATGCAGGTATAGCTTAGCTTCTTACTTGGGGAGGAGGGGTTCCAACATGTACCTTGTGTAAGATGCATGTTGCCTTGACACAGTGAATTTTAGAATCAGCATCAAATCCACCCCTGCCAGATTTTGTTCATACATTCACAAACTAAAGTTACCAAATTAAAACACACAAAAAGACAAGCACATAATTATCTATGTCCATACATAATAATAATAATAACTCTACACATTAATAGAGTGAGGTTCAAGAGAAAACCCCTTAAAAAATGAAAAAGATAAGGAATACCCTAGTACCTATACATATGTACGGTATGCACATATGCACACAAGTAACTTGTAGATAATTTTTCCAATATGAACAAGTCCATGAAAAGCAGGAAACATCTTCAATTACCTGTATGCACATATACATACCGTACAGATGAATGGTTATTAGGATGTTCCTCAGTTTTTTTATTGTTTGAGAAGTTTATCTCTGAACCTTACTCTATGCATATATGTATATATATATATAGGGGCCTAATCAAATGAGAACTAATTAGTTTGTGGTAACTGTGAGAACCAATATTAACCACAAATCAATAGATAAATTAGGAAATTTATAATTTTGGCAATTTTGAATTAAAATATTAATGCAAAGATATAATTGGTATTTTAAAACTTTCCTCCCTCCTCTCTTCTGTCTCCGGCCACCGTCCTCCGGTGATACTACAATGATATCACAATGCATTATATATGTGCTTGGGTATCACATTGATGTCGTTTGTGTGGTCGATCGAAAATGTAACACAGAGGTATCACTATGCATCTTATATATGATTAGGTATCACAATGTATCTTTTGTTTAACAGAGT